CTAGGAATGGCTGCAAGTCTGAACAGTCTGTGCCGTGCTAGAGAGGCCAAGCATCTGGCTAAGTAGGGAGGCAGATTATTCTGCAGCCTTCCACAATGGCCATGGCCTGCCCAGCTGCTTTCCTGGGGTCCCTGGTTCTTTGCCTTTCCCAGTGCACCTCAGTTTCTGGAAGTAAAATAGCACACGCCAATGGGTACATCATATAACTTCTTACCTAGCATACCCAATCCAGATCATGGAACATTGGGTTCCCTTGGCACAGAACTTGGGGAAAGTGTTGGTTTTTGGAGAACACACTCGGCACCTCCTTAGTCTCTCCATGAGCCCAGGTGTGGTGTGTTTTTGGGTCTTCTGAGCTGGCCTAGTTAAGAGAGAGTGCGCACATGTGCACAAGGGAGATCTTTGTGTGGGAGTTGGAACGGTATCTGTCTGCCATCTCTGTCCCTTATGCCTTCTGTCTTCACCTCTTCTGTCTCTACCAACAAATGAAGCCCCTGTTTCTTATAGGTGAGAAGCAACCTTGTCCTTAGTAGAAGATGATGCATTCAGTCCCGGCTCCACGTCAGACTCCCAACCACACCGAAGCATTCCTAGGAAGGAAGCTCTTTGGTCCTCCTTTTCGGGTAGCCTGGGGGAAGTCTGGAAGGCAGTTTGAGTCAATAGATAATGTAAAGGGGTAGGGATAGGAATAGGTCAGAGTGGGAGTATTGCGGCCTGTGGCCTTTGGACAGGTCCAGTGCGACCATATAAAGACCCTGGCACACATACCCCCACCCCTGGAATGTTGGTTTGGGCTGAAAACACACATGTTCATTGTCGAAAACCTGCCACATGTTGCTTTTGGGTGCTCACCATCCCAGAACATCCACTCTCTGTCAGAAAGGACAGTCCCAGAGGCAACCGGAAGTGATGAGTTATCACTTCCAGTCACCATAATGATGCAGCTGAAACCTTCTGGAGTGCCAGGGGAGCCAAAAATTGGGCAGTGCAGTCCTCTGGATCATGCCCACCCATGATAAGGAACAGCTTTTGCCAACCCGGGGGGAAGTCCTCGAGGTGTCTCACTGCTACACCAAGAATCCCCCAGCCAGCCTAAGCACTGGGTTGGGGAAGGCTGGTGTAGGGTGATTGTCCTAGAACATTGTAGTGAATCTTATGGTGATCCCAACACTGTGGGTGCTGCCCTTGCACCAAGAGGAGGAAGAAGCCAAGTGGCTAATAGGGATGCGTGTGAGAATCTTAGGGCCTTTCATTCGGCCACCTGTTTGCTTTCGTTGTCTCAGACAGGAGCTGAGGGCTATGGCGATGCACGTACGTTGTGTATGAAGGAACACCGCTTTGCAGGGGACAGCATCCAACACATGGTACTGCGTGAAAATGCGCAGTTGGCGCTGATCCATTCACAATGTGAACTTTGTGTCCAGGGCAGGATGCTCCTAAGGCAGGGGAAAATATAATGCAGGCCCTGTAGAATATGTTGGACTGCCATCCTCAGTGTCCCTAGACAGCCTGGTTAATGGTAGGGGATGCTGGGATTGCAGTTCTGAGTCCCATATCTGTCCTGGGGCAGTCAGGGAGTGCAGCCGGTCTGAGTCTTGTCAATCCTGGGATGGAAATCTTCTGGGTGCTTGTGTTCTACTCTGCCTGCCCTTATGGAACAGAGGAATGGGAATTAATAAATTATTCACACTCTCCTCCTCAAACCTGGGATTCAGAGCAGCTTTAGTTTGTGTGTGTGTGTGTGTGTGTGTGTGTGTGTTTGTGTACCTTCAGATTACCTGTTGACCTACAGCGACCCCATGAATTTCATGGGGTTTTCTTGGTCATGGTATATTCAGAAGTGGTTTTGCTGTTGCTTTCTTCTAAAATACAGCCTACAGCACTTAGTATTCCTTGGCAGTCCCCTGTCCAAGTACTAGCTAGGGCTGATCCTGCTTAGCTTCCAAGATCAGATGGAATCTGGTGCCTTCAGGGTATTTAGGCTCTCAAAGGAGCTTGTAAATGAACTTGTTCTTCATTGTAAAAATTAAGAACAAGCACAGGAAGAACATACATAAAAGCCTAAGTGAGACATACATCCTTGCAAAGATGTAATTATCCATAGAACTAAAAAAGAGGCTGGCTAGGCTGGGGACGCTCTAGCTGGGGATCCTGCCCTGGGCAGTGGGTTGGATTGCATGGCTTCTGGGATTCTATGAATCTAAAACTATTCAAAACAAATCCATTGAAAAGGCAAGGGCTTTCTCTTAGGTGTTTTTACATAGAACCATAGAGATGGAAGAGACCTCGAGGGCCATCCAGTCCAACCCCCTTCTGCCACGCAGCAATATACAATCAGGGCAATCCTGACAGATGACCATCCAGCCTCTATTTAAAAACCTCCCAAGAAGGAGACTCCACCAAACTCCAGGGCAGCAGCATCTTCCACTGTCGGAACAGCTCTTACCATAGAAAAGTCATCCTAATGTTTAGATGGGATCTCTTTTCCATAATTTGCATCCTTTGCTCTGGGTCCTAGTCTCTGGAGCAGCAGAAAACAAGTTTGCTCCATCTTCAATATGACACCCATCCATATATTTAAAGAGGGCTATCATATGACCTCTTAACCTTCTCTCTTCCAGGCTGAACATACCCAGATCCCTAAGTCTCTCCTCAGAGGGCTGTATGGTTTCCAGATCCTTCACCATTTTGGTTGCCCTTCTCTGGACACGCTCCACATCCCTTTTGAATTGTGGTGCCCATTCTGTATAGACTATACAAGTTTTTGGCAGGTTGAGCCTTGC